CGATGCACGCGGGGCAGGCCGCGAGGCAGCGCGCGGGCGCGCCAACGGGGGAGCTGCCGCTGGGGGAGCTGCGGGAGCAGCTGGCGGCGCTGGGGGTCGCGGCAGACGAGGGGGCGCTGGTCTCGCTGCTGGAGGCGGCGAGCGCGGCATTCGGGGACATGGACGCGCCTGAGGCGGCGCTGTACGCGGGGTGCCTGCCCAACTTCATGTGGCTGCCGGACGAGCGGCTGGTCAGCTTCATGTCGTGATCTGAGATCTGGGATGTGTGCCATTATGCAGGACAAGGGGGCGATCTTAGTTGGGGGACTTGTAAGACTCAATTCAGGCGGCGTGGCAGTAGGGCTGCACGCAGCGCCATGGCCGCTCTGCAGGTGGCTGCCAGCCTGGCGGGCGAGGCGTGGCCAGCCGGTGCGGTAGAGAGCCGGCTTGCGGCGCTTTTTCTTTGCTCGTCTGCAGTTGTGAGCCGGCAGGCGACGCTTCTGCCAGCCCAGCAGCGGACGGCGTGGACGGGGCCTGGACATAGCATTTTGCTGCGCGAGCGGGTGCGCCTCTCTCAGTTGTGACGCTTGGTTGGGTGCACGGGGCGCTTGGTGCTGGTGCCGCCCGCCGATTTCAAATAACTGTGGCCTACCAGCGGGACGCTGTTCAGTCAACGCCGGCTGACCTCCCCCGACATCAGGCTTTGTATTTATGATTCACACCAACCGGGCCTGAGGTCGCTGCCCCAGTTTGCCCGTCCTGCCTGGTGTCTGCTCAGCGCAACGTGGCAGCCAAGCACCGGAGGACGGGCAGCCCTGAGGGTCGGCGGCCTGTCATCGTGGCCCGCGCGCCATTGCACAGCGCGCCTCGTCAGCTCTGTCATCCTTCAAAGTTGGAATGCTGCCCCCACTGAGCAACCTATGCGGCCAGATGATTGGTCCCAGGAAGGTTGCAGCACCCCGTCACTCATGGGGGGCAGCAGCTTCACCCCACTCGGACTGAAGCAGCATGCCGTGTGCTTGCAGCAGCGGCCTACCGTGTCCCGCACGCTGAAACGAGCCACAGAATCCATAACGCACAACACTTCAATACCACCACCAAGATCGGCGTTTGAAAGCACTTTCTGCTCAGGATCACTTTCAGCACAAGGCGTTCGAAAGTATGCATGCAATTCAATAACATATACATGCTACGCTTGTTCATGTAGCGGGCAGCGGATGCAGCACCGACGTCATCGGCTGCGCCGCGCGCCGCTGGTGCTCCTGCTCCTGGCGCTCGTGCTGGTCCTAGCGCTGCGATGTGAGAAGAACTGGGTTTCATCTCAACAGGACAATTTGCATGGGATCCTCGTGCAACGGTAACATGGCGGCGCCGGTTGCATGCTGTTGCTTTTCAGGCGCACCCGTATGATGGTGCAGCTTCACACCATTCGCGTGCCCCGTCCCTCTTTCCCACCGCAGCCGCGCGGCGCGCAGGGTGGCGCCTGGAAGTGGGAGGCCGTCAGCCCAGCCACAACCTCGGCAGCAGCGAGGAGTGCAGCAGCGAGAAGGCCGAGTTCTTGCGGCAGCATCCCAACTACGGGTGCGGCTCCGCCACCGCCGCAAAATCCCGCAGCACCACGCCCGCCGCTCGCGCGCACGCGGCCTCAGACAGTCACCCTGCGCCCAGCTGTGCGCCCAGCAAAGCAGCTGCTCGTGGTCGGCCGGTGCTTCAGCTGTTGCAGGGGCGGAGGTTTCAACCGCCTGCTTACTGTCGCGTGGGCCCCAGCCATGGCGCAGACAGCTGCCGCGGCGTGCACGGCTGCGATTGACGCGCGCGCAGGTACCATGGATGGATCGACGCGCACTGGCAGGAGGAGGTGGGCAGCCGCATGGCACCCGGCAGCCACTACCTGGATTTCACAGGATCGGGCCTCTACACGAATAGGTGCGACCCCGGCCCATGCTTGCCAGCTGAGGGTTGAGATCCACCCTTCGGGGCTGAGCCTGCTGGGCCTCGGCCCCCAGCTACTCGCGGCTGTGCGGGCAATCGCTTCCGCGCGAGTTTAGGGGCGCCAAGCGGCGGCCCCACACGGGGCGCTGCAGGGCGCTTGCCGTGCGGACTCTTGAGGGTTTGAGGGGTTCTGTCCCGCCCTCCGCCCCCTCCCCCCGCGGTGGCCCCGCAGTCAGCTGCGGGCCGCGTCGCGGGAGCTGGAAGGGTCCCTGTTTGGCAACCCCCACAGCACCAACCCCAGCAGCATGCTGTCCACCGCTGAGCTGGCGGACGCGCGCGCGCGGGTGCTGGCCCACTTCTCGGCCGACCCCGAGGAGTATGCGGTCGTGTTTGTCAGGTGGGCGCAGGGGGGGTGTATGTGCCATGCTGAACATCAGGGCGTCCTCGTGCATGCCTATGCGATGCTGCAACGGCGTCCGCGCCTCAAAGGGACGAAGCGCCGAGACATCAGCCGGCTCATTGCCGGTTCATTGCCAGGCTCCCGCGGCCGCCGAGGGAAGCAGGAGGATATGGAAGGAACGACCCAGGCCATTTGTACAAGAGACAGGCTGCGCAGCTGTGCCGCATGCGGGTGCCCGCATGCTGGCTATGGGGCTGACAAAGCGCGCGTCCCACCTCACCAGGAGCGCCACCGAGGCGCTGAAGCTGGTGGGGGAGTACTTCCCCTGGGCGCCGCGGCCGGGCTGGCAGCCCGAGCGGCGCGTGCACCCGGGCGGCATCAGCGACGCAGCCGCGCTGCCGGCGGGCCGCTGCGGCACACTTGAGCAGGCGGGGACGGGCGGCGCGGGCAGCAGCTTTGTGTACCTCCGGGCCAACCACAAGGTGTGCGCGCGTGACTGGAGGGGAGAGGCCGTGCAAATCACGCAGGTCTGCTCTTTTCTTGCCTTGCCCTGTACCCAGCCTGCGCAGCCTGGCGTGCTGCGATTTTGGCCGCTCATCCCTAGGGGTCTCGGAGTTTGCAGGCCTGGGGTGACGTGCTTTGGGGTGGCGCTCTCTTGCGAGCGACGCCGACACATCGTTGTCTGACCGGCCACGCCTCGTGCCGCAGAGCGTCCTGGGGATTGGTGCATATGCGAAGCTGCACGGCTCCACCCTGGCGTGTGTGGATGAGCCGGGCATGGAGGCATGGCTGGCCTCGAAACCGCCAGAGGGTGAGCTTTGGGTGCACATGTGCTCTGTGTGTGTTTTGGTGTGGTTGATGCTTGTGTGTGTGTGTGTGTGTGTGTGTGTGTGTGTGTGTGTGTGCGCGCGCGCGCGTGCTTTTGCATGGGTGTGTGTGTATGGATGTGTGCAATTTCCAATGTGACAGGGCTTGCATCAGTCTGTCGCCATGCCTGGTTGTGCCTGGTTTGTTTGGTTTGTTGCCGCGGCAACCTCCGGCAGCAAACGCGGTACGCATGCAGCCGCAACAACAACCGCCGCCCTGCGTCAATGGAACCCTGTCCCTTGCCAATAGACGCCCACCCCGCCCCCCCTCCTCGGAGTGCGCAGACGACCAGGGGGCGGCTGCGGATGATGTCACCTACAGCCTGGTGGCGTACCCCTCAAAGGATAACCTGGAGGGGCGCATGTACCCCCTGGACTGGATACAGCGGGTGAGGACGGCACTTTGAGGGCTGGATGCGGCCCAACGTCGCTTCCTTGCCCAGGGCTGGCGATTAGAGAGTAAACACTGGCAGCTGAACGCCGCCGAACGCAGCGGTGTCCTGGCGTCGCAGTTGCTGCTAAGCTGGCGATTTGTATGCGAGGTCGCCGCACTGTGCAACCTTACAGATACACCCGTGGTGCGACACACGCAGGTGCACTCGCGCTCCACGGACCGTCACAAGTGGATGGTGGTGCTGGATGCCGCCGCGCACGTGGCGACCCACCCCCTCGATTTGCGGGCCGTCAAGCCCGACTTTGTGTGCATATCGTTCTACAAGATATTCGGATTGCCGACAGGTGAGGGGTGCGCTGTGGACTACCGTATGGTGCGGTGAGGGATCTCACTGTTGCTGAATCGGCAGTGGGCTGTCGCCTGCCGCTGTTTGCCTTGTTGAATGACTGCGGCTGAGCCGTCGCTGGTTCCAGCCACGATTTGGCTGCGGCCGCGCAGCGCAGGCTGCATGCTGCTCCCCTTACGTGCCCTGTACGCTCTCGCATACCGCCGCCAACAACCCCGCCACCCCAGGCGTCGGCGCGCTGCTGGCGCGGCGAAAGTCGGCGGCCGCGCTACGCATCACGTACTTTGGCGGCGGCTCCGTCGTCGACGCGACAGCGGAGGACGTGTGGCGCGTGCTCATGCCGCTGCCCGAGGGCCTGGAGGCCGGCACGCCGCCTTTCTTGGACATCCTGCAGCTGAAGCACGGCTTTGACATGCTGCGGCGCCTTGGGGGCATGCCTGCCATTGAGGCGCACGTCGAGTCGCTGCGCGCCTGGACCGCGCCGCGGCTCGCGGCCCTGCGCCACCCCGGCGGCGCGCCGCTGCTGCGGCTGTTTGGCGCGCACGGCCGCGGGCCGCGGGTGCAGAGCGGGGTGTTTGCGTTCTTGGTGCTGCACGCGAACGGCTCCTCGCGGGCGGCGCCGTGGGTGCAGCAGGACGCGGCGGCAGCGGGGCTGCACGTGCGGTCCGGCTGCGTGTGCAACCCGGGGCAGTGCCACTACGACGTCGGGCTGCGGCCAGAGGAGGTAAGACAGGGGGGAGGGGCGCGTGAACGTACAAGAGCTGAGTGGTGCACGCAAGGGGAGGGGCAGCGGCTGTTGTCGAGATGGGCGCATGGGGTTCGAGGCTGGGCGGTCCTTCTTTGCGCCCCTCGCTTGGCTCGAGCGGGGTGCATGTGCCGAGCAATGGGAACTGGGATTGCCCGCCCTCAAGCTGACACAAGCCCAGAAGTACTGAATTCGCACCTCCCTGCACCCACGCGAATGCAGGCGCGAGCCCGTGCGCTGGACGGGGCCCGCGCCGGCACCGACGACCTCGCGCCCTTAGTCACAGTCGCGCGCCCCGGCGCCGACGGGCGCCCGGCGCGCGTGCGGCTAGCTGCAGGCGTCGTGCGGGCGTCGCTCGGGCCGCTGTCTACGTTTGAGGACGTGTGTGCTCTGCTGGAGTTTCTCAGAGGCTATCGGGAATTAGTGCTTTAGACAGCGAATGCTGTATTTTAGCAGCTGCATAAGCTGCAGGTGCAACACCTGGCTTGAAGGCTCTGTTGAGAGCAGGCGGCCCGCTGCCGCCCGATGCTGCCACCTCACTGGTAATGATGCTGTAGCGGCCGAGCCTCCCGGCAGTGATAGGCCGCTGCCCTTTTTCAATTCCCACGCATGAGTGCACCAGCTGGTGTGGGGACACGGCTTGCGGCTGCTGGTGCCTGCCGCAATGCTGCTGCATCTTGGCTGGTTTGTTGGCGCACCCGCTCTGCTGCTGTGTTCGAAGCTCCTTAGTAGAGAGAAGCTTTTAGGTTTACAAAGTGGCAAGCGGTTTCCAGAAAGTCGGCACTGAGCTGCCACAGCAAGTGAGATTCCAAAATACTTGTCCAGTACAGTATGTCCTGTGCTACTCAAAACTTCACGGATGCTTCACTGTCTCTCTGTGCGCACGACTGTTGATGAGGAATGCCAGTGGCAGCGCGCTCCCACCCGTAGGGGGAGATGCTGCAAGGGCAACATCTCTGGGGTGAGGTAGGCTTGAAGGGACGTCAGCTGCATGCCTTGGAATGTGCCGCAGTATTGTCGACGCAAGCGAGAGCAGGAAGGGCCACCTAGTTAGGTTTCAAGCGATCACCTGTAAATGGCACGCACAACTGCTCAGTCAACTCCGCCCCAGGGAAGGGGTCGCAACACCATTGCCAATGTGCACCACCAGCAGCCCCCTGAACTGCGTGCTCATGATTCTGACAGACCTGTTGCTTGCGCATTCTCTAACTGATCCCAACGCGCTCATGGACCCGGCCGAGAACCATCACCCCCCTAGGGGTATGCCGCATTGGCCTCCAGCCATGGCCTGAAGCCTCGCCAGCGCTCCTCAAACTTGTCAGGAGGCATCCCAAGGACAGTGCCGGCAGTCAGCAGCCTGGCCCCCGGGTTGGCCGCCGCCCACTCTGTCGCCAGGTACTCCAGGCGGGCGAGGCGGGCGCGGCCCAGGACCAGGAGCCTGGCGAGGTAGGCAGGGGAAAGGCTGGCGCCGATCACTGGGTAGGACTTGATGAGGTTCGCCTGTGCAGGTCGGCGGGGCGCGGCCGCGGTGCGTTGGGGCGTCGGCGGCGGACCGATTCGTCAGTGGAGGTTACATGTCGGTGCATCAGGCCGGATGCAGGTGCCGAGACCGACATTGGCACTGTCGAGCAGCCGCATGCTTGAAAACAGGCGTCTTGCAAGACACTGGCGGCCGTGCAGCCCGGCCGCCCACCTTGGCGACGACACCCTCAGTCCTCAGTCCCAGCAGGCTCGGCTGCGTCCTGCACATCAGCCGCGCGTCCTCCAGCCCCATCCCCAGGCCCGCGGCCAGGCGCTCCAGCTTGGCCCGCAGGCTCTCTGGCGACATGTGCAGCAGCCGGGGGTGGCGGAGGAGCCGGCGAGCGAGCTGCGAGTCGTCGGCGAGGTCCAGAAGCTGAGCCAGGGCTCGCGCATTGTGGGGGAGTATGGAGGCGTCCCCGATTAAGAGGTCCGAGTACCTCCGCACGGCCGTGAGGGCGGCGTCTGCGCTGCCAAACAGCTGCACCAGGGCTGCCAGGCTGGCGTGGAACGCGTCGAGGGTGTGCCGGAGGAGCGACGGCCGGCGCATCACCGCCTTTTCCATCCTGGCCCGGTCGCCGCCAAACACCTCTTCCTTCAGCCAGGCAGACGCGGCCGCGATGGCCTGCGGGGTCGAGGGATGGGTGCAGAGAGCAGAGAGCGACAAGTATGTTTGCAGTCCTCGGCTTGGTGTCCAAGAGGTACCCTAGCCTGGCCGCCTCGCTCGCACCGGTTGATGCAAAGGGCGCCGCAGGATGAATCGCAACCACTCGCGCCGTACCCCCTGTGACGGTGCCTTGCGCCGGGGCCGCCGGCCGCGCCCGCTGCTGGGCCCCTCGCCGTGGGTGTTGCTGGCGCGGCGGGTGACCCTGACGGCGGACTGGGGTCGCGCGCGCGGCGGCCACACGCACGAGCGAATGGCAGGCCGCCAGCTCGAAGGCAGCAGAGCAGGGTACCCGACTACAGAGCCGCTGAGCCTGCAGTTGTTGTGCTGCGCCAGCATCTTGAGCACGTGCTGGCTGCGCAAGGGTTGAGAAACGCTTGTTCAGCATCCTGGCGGGGCGATATGCGGCGCTGCGGCCTGCCCTGGGCTTTGCAGTCACACGAGAAGCTCAAGATGCTGGTGAAATTACCTGTTAATGTTACTCTGCAGGGGAGTGCTGCTCCGTGAAGTGGCGGAATGGGCCACGAGCAACTGCACGGTGCCGTACGGCAAAATACTGTCACTTAGGTGCGGGTGCAACTCTTTTGACAATGCATCGTGCCAGGGATGCATCAGCCAGCCAGGAACGTGCGCGCAGCCCCGCCGCCGACAGGAGGTCACCCCTTCTCCCAGCCCAAGCGTAGAGGCTCTACGCTTGGGCTGCGCAGGCGAACATGGACACACTGTCTTCACCAGAAATTTGCTCGACTCCATCGCTGCGTGCAATTGGCTCACATGTGCAGAGGGGAGCGCAGCAAACATTGGCTCTGCCGAAGAAGATGGCAAGGCCCAGGGACTGGTCCTCTACATCTTCCACGGCAGAGGCCATGCAGGCCCGTCATTCCACCAATCGCGCTGATGGGCCCCGCCGGCCCGATGGCACCGCCGAAGGAGGCTTGCTCTCTCTGCACGTACACTCAGAAGGGCGCGACGACGTCGTCGCCCGTTCCTGGTTGCATGTGCCAGGACATGCGCAGTCATGGGCCAGCGGTGGACAAGTGGCCAGGCCACACCAGGATCCTGCAGTGGGTGCCACACACGACCTTTGGCGTCCCCATCTGCGTATCCATGTGTTGGCTGGGTGCCGGCAGCACCGACGACCGATCCGGCGGCGCGGCAGGCGGCTGGAAGCAGGCAGCTGTTGATGCAGCAGCGCGATGTTGTAGCTGTCGGTTGCGCCCTGTCGCCAGACCAGTTGTGCGTGGCGCCAAGTCTTGCCTGCGCCCATCCTTGCCATGCAGTCGGAATGCATGTGCACACCCGCCCCGTACTCAAGTGTGATGACCCACACTTGACTCATTGACTCCCATTCAGCTCCACCGCAACCTGCTGCACTAGTCGCAGGCCAATATGTATCGTGACATAACTTACATGCATGTTTTGCAACACTAATAGAGCGAAATTTAACAGAGGCAGTATCGTGATCTGCAATACGGTGGATCTACGTACAGAATTGCGCTTCGGTCGCCATGCCGACCCTCAATATAATTACTAATGGTGAGATACCGCATCTGCGATCAATGAGCGACCTGAAGTTGCAGCCACCTTCATTTGCAGGATTGCAGCGCAGTGCCAGTGCCGCGCACCGTTTGCTCCCCTCACTCCAGCACCTATACCTTGTGCCGCGCGCAGTGCCCGGCAACGCTGTCGACAACTCAGACACGCTGAAGGTACGCCAGGCTCACCGGATTGCGGGGTCAGGTCGCCGCGGTGTGCATGGGGTGGCGCAGCTGGCTTGGGTTTGAACAGTGGGAACATCTGGTGAGGCCGAGGCTCTGCCCAGGACACGTGACTCCATGCTTCCCCTGTTCTGCACATTTTGATGCAGGCCCTGTCCAAGGCAGTCGCAGACAGCGTCGGCAAGCCGGAGCAGGTATGGGGTTGGGGCTGGGGGGCGGCGCATATGCACCCCCGGCCGCCACCCAGCGGGGGTTGTGCCTCACCACGATGTGAAATGCTGTGTTGTCGCCGCATGACTGAGCAGGACTCCCCGACTCGCAGCCTGCCTTGCACAATCCGGCTGAAGACACACCCCATTTGGCCTTAAACCCCCACCCCCGCTTTAGTGGGTGATGGTGTCCCTAACAACTGACAAGCCCATGTGCTACGGCGGCAGCGAGGCGCCCTGCGCATACGGGGAGCTCCTAAGCATCGGTGAGCGCTGCCCGCGGCTGTTGCGCTGCAGTCGCCACTCAGCAAGACGCGGGCAGCGGCCCCCGAGAGCGACCTGTGGCTGCCCTGACAGCAGGCGGCTACTAGCTTAGGGCGTCGCGATACAACAGCCCGCGCGGGCGCCCCATGACCGGCCCTAGAACCGTCCCTGCTCTTCCGGAACCGCGAAACGCAGGAGCCATCGGCGGGGAGAAGAACAAAGCGGTGGGCGCTCCCCTGCCATTGAGCCTCCTCGTGCCGCCGCTGCCGCCACCGCTGCTGCTGCTGCTGCGCTTGCGGCGGTGTTTGTCCCTTGCAGTGCGCCTCCTGAAGGCGAGGCCCAGGCACCCTGCAGAGCAGCGCCGACCCCATGGCTATGACGCATGTGCTGACACGCCCTCTCCCCCCTCGTCCGGCACCCCTGTGAGTCACCGCAGATCTCCGGTGCCGTCGCCGCTGTGCTCAAGGCGCGGGCGGGGGTGGACCCCTCGCGCTTCTACCTGCGGTTCACAGACAGCGCCCGCTCGGACTTTGGCTGGAACGGGTCCACTTTTTGAGGCTTTGGTGTTTGATTTGCAATCGGCTGGTTGCATGCGCTGCGCCAGGATCTGGCCAGACTGATTTGCGCACAGTGCATTGGCATGCTTTTTGTGTGGATCTCATCGCTCCAGGGGTTGCGGCCAGCTGCTGTGCTGGGTGTTCTTCACATTGGAAATTTGAACGAACCGACCAAAAGGGTTGACGCCGCAAAAGCAACGGAGGACCGCAGGAGCTGTCCGCAGAGGCTGATGATGTCGCTGCAGCGAGCGGGTGCAGGTTGCAGCCAGACTAGCGCTGACGGAGACACGTGGAGCCCCTGCATCCGTTTTTGTCCCGCTTGCGCGCTGATGACACCTGCACAGCCGCAGGCCCCGCCGTGCCTCCCGGCACACAAGCCTGCTCTGCCTGCAGCTTGTTCGTTGCCGTTGCCGCCAGGCGGGCAAAATGGTGGCACGCATTCATCAGGCTCGTGCACGTGTCCAGCCAGCCGACCTGTCGAGCCGCAACATGCCGTCCATACAGAAATTGAAGCTGTCGTAGTCACTGCCACAGAACACCTGGCGTCCACGCGACGAGCTCTCCTGTTGTCGGGTAGGTGCACACAGCGCGAGGGAATTTTATACCAAGGGGGTGCAACGACTCGATGAGGCGCGGTCAGTGACGCAGCATTTGCTCTTAATGTACACACACAGTGGCCCGCTAGGAGACTAGGCCCATCACATACGAGATGCACCGCTGTCTGGATTGTCTTGTGGTTGGTGAGTGGTTGCGCAACCGGAATCTGGGGACAGAATTTCTGGCGATCGCCGATTGTCGGGCACGCTGTACAGCATGCAGCAGAGCGCTGATTGACAGATGGAGACAACATGGGGTTGACGCTGGTGTGGCTGCAGGTCTGATCCCTTTGGGCACAGGCTGCCTGGCCTGCCCGTCCACCCAAGGCACCAGCAACGCGCCCACAAGACCGCCCGGGCAGCGGCACCGGCGCCTCCGGTCAGGGAGAGGTGACCCAGCCAGCGCGCTACCTCGCGAATTTCAGATTACGGCGATCAGTTGCACGACTCATTCCGGGCCCAATACCCCGTGGGTCCCCGTGACCCCTCTGTGTCTGTGGCCCTTTTGCCAGGCTCTTGGCTGGCTTCACAACAAAAACTTGGATTTGCTCTTCTCAAAGCACACTTACAATTGCGACTACTCGTTTAGACAACACGCGCCCCACGGGAGCGTTGTAAAAGGGCTTGAATCAGAACAGCAGCATCCCCTGGCCCTCATCCAACACACCGCACAGAAGCATCATGAGCGCCGACAAGCAGCCAAAATCGGCGGACGGTGGCCCGCTTTTTAGCGTTGCTGTGGACACAGGTGAAGCGGGCACAAGATTTCGCCGGGGCAGCCGTCTCCTTGCTGACCGCCAGCCAGCGGCCCTGGGACGCCTCTAGGCTTGCAATCCGAACGTAACACATCTATATACGCGAAATTGGATGGCGCGCTGCGTGGGTTGCAGCCATGCGTGGGCCCATGTGCCCCTTGTGCCCTTGACAAAGGTGCACACAATAGACCACAGACGCTGCTCGTTCGCCGCTGCGCATGCGTGCTGCAATCCTCAGCAAGGCTAGATCATCATGCACAGCCAGAGCTCGGACCTTGCACGCTCGTCACTGCCGTCGGCCCCCCCTGGCCCCGCCTCGCATCACCGCGCCCACCCTCACAGAGCACAAGGCGCAGCGCCTGCGCATATGGAGCCTCCAGCGCCCCCACCACATGGCCTTCCACATCAGCTGGCTGGCGTTCTTCTCGGCGTTCGTGTCGACGTTTGCGCCAGCCGCCCTGCTGCCAGTCATCCGCGACAACTTGGACCTGGTGCGCACCCCCCCGCGCGTGCTTGCACGGTGCCCACCGCACGCGCCCATGCGCATATGTGCAGCCGGCAGCCATGGACTCAAACGCGCCAGTGTTCTCAAGCCCTTGTGTCGACAGCATGACGCGCCACTTCAGTGCGCAGCCCCGCCGCAGTTCAGCCGCTCGCGCGCCCCCCTGCTTGGGATCCTGGAGCAACACCACTTTGCACGTTCGCCGCCGACCCCGCCGCCGCCGCCGCCCGCACCGCAATCGCCATCAACCCGCAGAACAAGGTGGACCTGGGTAACGCCGGCATCGCCGCCGTCGTTGGCGCCATTGTCGCGCGCGTGGCCATGGGCAACTTTGTCGACGTCTACGGCCCGCGCTTCGGCATCAGCATCTGCATCGGCCTTACGTCGCCGGCGGTGTACTGCATCGGGATGAGCACTACAGCTACTGGCTTCATCCTGTCCCGCCTGTTCATCGGGTTCTCATTGGCCACCTTTGTCGCCTGCCAGTTCTGGTGCACAAGGTGCGGGGCAAAAGGCCGGCCCGATGGGCGAGCGATGGGTTGTGCGCAAGGGGGGTTGGTCTGCGACCTTGAGCGACCCCAGCCGCGCACGGGGAGGCTGGTGCTTCTGCCGGACCCCGGCGCAGTCGCGAGGGGCAGTTGGTTGTGTGGCGGTTGCAATGTTGTGGTTGCAGCCAGGGGGGTCACAGGCTGCACTGCAGAGCGCCTGCTGGAGCGCGCAGCGACATAATCGGCCGCTTCCCTCGGACGCTGCCTCACCAGCTCACCCCTTTCTCGCAAACCGAGCAACCCGCCGCCACCCAACCCGACCCGAAACGCCCGCAGCATGTTCAATACCAAAGTTGTCGGCACCGCCAACGCCTTTGCCGCCGGCTGGGGCAACATGGGAGGCGGCTTCACGTCATTCATCATGCCCCTCATCTTCGACGGCATCATCGCCAGCGGCGTACCCGACTTCCAGGCCTGGCGCTGGGCATTCTTCGTGCCCGCGTCGTTCCAGGTGCTGCTAACTGTCATCACGATGGCCTTCTGCCAGGACATGCCAGATGGCAACATGGTCGACCTCTACAGCCACGGGGCGCTCAAGAAGCCGGGGGGCGCATCGGTGTGGAAGGCCGCAGTGGGCAACTACCGCACCTGGGTGGGTGGGGCAGGCGCGGCGCGGGGCGACGGGCGCGTCTTCGCTCGGCTTGAGGGCGGGAGGTGGCGTAGGCAATTGCAGCTGGTGTTGGCGGGCGCTTTGTGGCCATCACACTCGCGTGTTGCCGTAGCTGGGTTGGAGGCACCTGTTTTGCTCAAGCGGACGGCGCGGCGGGGCGTGCTTCCGGCTGTGTAATGCTGCATGCCTGCAGCCTCTCCCACCCCTGCATGACACAGCAACCCCCACAAACCCGGCTTGCCAATGACATCCCTAGCCTGCCGCTCAACTTCCCGGGCTCATAGCACCTCCACGTTTCCCCCCTCCAAAACCCACCTTACCCGACGCAGGTCATGGCCCTCTGCTACGGCTACGCATTTGGCGTCGAGTTGACCGTCGACAACGTGATCTCCCAGTACATGTTTGACCAGTTCCACCTGCCCCTCTCGATCGCCGGCATGCTGGGCAGCGTCTTCGGCCTCATGAACATCTTCTCTCGCCCCACCGGCGGCATCGTCTCGGACCTCGCGGCCAAGAGATTCGGCATGCGCGGCCGCCTGTGGGCGCTCTGGGTCATTCAGTCGCTGTCGGCCGTCTTCTGCATCCTGCTGGGCCTCATGTCCCACAGCCTGGGGGCCACCATGGCCGTGCTCATCATCTTCTCCATCTTCTGCCAGGCGTCGTGCGGGCTGGCCTTTGGGGTCGTGCCGTTTGTGTCCAAGCGCTCGACCGGCCTGGTTTCGGGCGTCGTCGGCGCCGGCGGCAACGCGGGCGGCGCCATCACGCAGGCCATCTTCTTCACCTACGTGGCCCTGCCCACCGACATGGCCTTCGTCTGGATGGGCGTCATGGCGCTGGTGCGCTCCCGCCAGCCAGCCAGCCAGCCTGCGTCCTTGCCTGCCTGCGTGCGCTCGCTGCCTGCGCGCACCTGCCCGACAGCGGCATCCCCTCGCATCTTGAGTGGCGCTGCCTTCCCGCGGTGCCGCGCCGGCCTTGCCATCCCGTCACGCATTGGCAGGGAGGTGTGCCGGCGCAAAGGGTCGGGTGTGCAACCGCCTAGCCGTCGACACGTCCCATTTCATCTATCTGCATCGAAACGACCCTCCATAACTTTATTTCACCACGCACACAAGATTGCTGATCTTCAACCAACCCTCCGAATCGCCCCCTCATCCGCAGGGCATGACCGCGCTGTACCTCACCATGTACTTCCCCATGTGGGGCGGCCTGTTTGTGGGCCCCAAGGTCGGTGTGACTGAGGAGGACTACTACCTGTCAGAGTACACTCCAGAGGAGATAAGTCAAGGTGGGTGACAAATCAGTGGGCCATGGGTGATGCGAGTACGCGTGAGCGCGCACGGACGCACGCGGGTGTGTGAGCGTGTGTGCACGCGCTTGCTTGCTTGTGCGTGCTCGGATGCAAGCATGAGGTGGAGTTATGTTGGGGGTGGGCAGTGTTTGCTGTACTGCTGCAGAAAAAGATGTGGTGGGCTTTACCTACCACAACCACCACTGGGGGGCGGATGTGGTGGGTGCAAGGGTGACTGCAAGGGGTTGGCGCTGTGCTGAAGACCGTCACACTTGCGGTCCCGCCGCAACCGCAAGCAGCAAACAGCCAAATCTGGTGGCAGCCACCTGACCGAGCCCCGCTCACCCCCCCCATCATCCCCCTGTTTGCCCCGCAGGCATGGCGTCGTCCTCCATCAAGTTTGCATATGAGAGCCGCTCCCAGCGGGGCGTGCGCAAGGATGTCGCCTCGACGGCGCCGCCACCCAACATAATCGCAACCACAGCATGAGCCCACTGCTGCTCCCCGTCTTTCTTTCTTCGTTCAAACTCTATTATCGTGGTTCTCAGGCAGGTCTGAGTGCAGCCTGCACCATGGCTGCGCATCTCCTGCGTGCGGTTGCCCAAGGTTTGAATGCATCGGTGGCATATCAGCCATCAGGCTGGCCGCCTTTCGCGCGTCTGTCCTGGCTCTGAGTACTGCGTGGGAGACGGACACAGGGCGTGAGATCCTGCCTTGTTCAAAGAAGTCCGAGGGTTACTTGAACAAACATGACCCGCCGCCAGTCTCAACATATCTGGCGGTGGTGCCACCACATGATGCAGTGTGGTTGTGGGCGCGCTTGTGTATCTTACCAGCAGCGGGTTGGCTGTCCTTTGACTCATGCCGGCTGGCGTTCCCACGATTGGAAGGCGCCTGGAGGGCTCGACGCAATGCGTGCTGGACTAACCGCTCCACATTGAGTGGTACGATATTTATATGCACAGATGCCTTGTCTTGACAAGATTCACTGCAGAGCGTAGCTCCCTTGCGGCTTCCGCCTTCAAGTGGCCCGCCCCCATGTGAGCGCCATTGTGGAGCACGGGGCGCGTCATCATCCCTCGTCAGCAACCGGCTTGGAAACCTTTCAGCATGCCTCAACCTTGACTGTAATAAAGCACAATGGATGGACGGCTGGTGGCATCCGTCCGGCAACAGCACGGTTCCGTACGAACGTATAATACAGCCCCCCTTGCCTGCCCTGCAGCCGCCGCCTGGTCGTGTCAATGCCTGACAGTCGCTTGAGTGGTTAACATGTACGTGGGCAGAGACCCCTTGCAAAAATATGGCATGGTGTTACGCTCCCTTTAGCCACACAGTGCAGCTGAAAGCTACAGCCCCTCTCAGGAGTGCTGTATATGACATGCTTGCAGCCACAGGGCAGCCTGTGAACCAAACATACTGTGCTGCCTTCTATGCCAGGCAGCGGGGTATCCACGCCAGCACACCCGGCAGCAGGGACACATACAAGCCGCATAGTGCATTCAACTGCCCCGCCGCTGCCTGGCGTCACCGCAAGCGCGCGTCACCGCGCTGATGTCATCATGACGTCACCTCCAGGTCCACCGCGACCATCTTCCTCGCGATGGGGTGGTACCGCGCCGCGTTGGCCTTGAAGGTGTCCAGCGCGGCCTGGCGCCCGATCTTGGAGCGGTATAGCGCGCGGTACAGCGGCCGCAGGTACTTCATGCGGCCGACAGACGCCACCATGGCCACCGCCAGGGGCAGCGCCGCCGCATCATTGGCCTGGATGCAGAGCTGAGGCATTTGGGGAGGAGGGGGTGGGGCGGACGGATGTGGCATGTGATGTGGATTGGGAGGGTTGTTAGGGCGGGGGGCAGGGCGCTTCTGCTTTGATGAGAGAGAGATATGTTGATGGTAGGTA